GCATAACCCAATATCCTTTCGCAGCTGGGGGGGCCTAGGTCTGAAATCCAGGGGCGAGCTTGGCAGGACTGGCTCCTTCTGGAGGCTCCCACGGAGAACCTGTTCCCTGCCTCTTCCAGCTCTGGCGGTGACCAGCAATCCTTGAGCTCTTCGCTTGGTCCTACACCACCCACCACCCAATCTCTGCCCCTGCCCTCACGGACCCTTCTTCTCTCCACGCCCCCTCTCCTCCTCTTCTCGGGACTTGTCATTGGATTTAGGGCGTCCACCCTAAGTCAAGAAAATCTCACCTTGAAATCCTTGGCGTAACTACACCTGCAGAGGCCCTTTTTCAAGTAAGGTCACATCCACAGGTTTTGGGTACCTGTACCTTTTTGGAGAGCCACTATTCAACCCACTGCACGAAGTAACCCATAAACACAATGTAATTCTCACCAAAGTTCCCAATGGAATTTAAAAAATATATATATATGTTTATTTAGTTATTTTTGAGAGAGGGAGAGAGAGAGACAGAGAGAGGGAGGGAGGGCAGAGAGATAAATGAGAGAGAATCCCAAGCAGGCTCCACGTTGTCGGCACAGAGCCCGACACGGGGCTCGAACTCACCGACCACGAGATCACGACCTGAGCCAAAATCAAGAGTCTGGACTGAACTGCCCCCAGGAGATTTGTGTTTAATTCAACAGCCCTTTTTACAAGGTGAGCATTAAGGTTGCATAAAAGAGAAAATCCCTAAGAATGGCCAAGAAAATGATGGAAAAAAACCAGCTGGCTTTCGGAACATGCTATAACGTACTTGTCATTACAACAGCATGATGGTGCCGGGTAGGAAGGGCCACATGGAAACTGTCATGGGAGCGCCTTTCCAGATAAAGGGGAGGGGCGTGAAGTCCGCAAATAAAGGTGTTGATACAGCTGGGGAAACCAGCCTTCGCCTCCCACCATCGCCCAAAACAGAGCCAGGCATGGCAGGGAGATAAGACTGGAAAACATGGAAATAAAACCTGGGGCACTTTGATGACCCTGGGGCTGGGATGCTCAACCCCAACCAGAAACCACCTAGAGAAAGAGCAGGAACTGGCCACGGAAGAAACGCTAATGGTCAAGACACTGTTTGAAAAGAAGCTCCCCCTCAAACGAATCAGAGACAGGTAAAAACTGAACGATGGGCAATTTTTTTTAATTTTTTAACGTTTATTCATTTTTGACGGGGAGAGAGAGAGAGAGAGAGACAGAGCACATGCGGGGGAAGGGCGGAGAGAGAGGGAGGCACAGAATCCGAAGCAGGCTCCAGGCTCCGAGCTGTCCGCACAGAGCCCGACGCGGGGCTCGAACTCACGGACCGTGAGATCATGACCTGAGCCGAAGTCGGACGCTCAACCGACTGAGCCACCCGGGCGTCCCACCAGTGACGTATTTTTGGAAGACAATTTGGTGATCTGATCGAAACGTAAACACTCCCATATGCTCTGATGCTGCAAATTCACTTGTTACGTGTCTATTTATTCAGGGAGCCGTGGTGTAGACTGGTGTAGACACAAAGTAGTCACGACTTTGTTACAGCAGCAAGAACGGGGACACGGGGGCACCTGTGTGGCTCGGGGGGTTAACGTCCAACTCTTGATGTGGGCTCGGGTCATGACCTCATGGTTCCTGAGATCCAGTCCCCAGTCAGTGCAGCGCCTGCCTGGGATTCTCTCGCCCTCTCTCTGCCCTTCCCTCCCCTCAAAAATAAGTAAACAAACATTTAAAAAGCTGCTTTTGCTTTGGGGGCCGTCGGTTGAGTGCCTGGGTCTTGCCTGGAATCACAGTCTCTCAGTTGGTGGGTTCAAGCCCCGCTACGGGCTCGGGGCTGAGGGTGCCAAGCCTGCCTGGGCTCCGTTCTGCCCCTCCCTCTTCTCCCCCACTTGCACTCGCTCGTGCTAGCTCTCTCTCTCTGAAATAAATTTAAAAAAAGAAAAAGGAACAGGGACACAGCCCGGGCTGCCCCTGACCCCCCCCCACCCCCAGCACAAGCACAGGGTATCCCTCCACTGGGACTCTTAAACTGGGGGGGTCAGCACCCCCCTTGCCCCAGGCCCATGGCCCAGCCACCTCTTCTCAGACCCCCAGGCCACCAGATGTCCAGCCCCTCCTAGAGCAAAAGCCCTGCCCCCTCTCCTCGGGAGCACCCCAGGCCCCGTGGGCCCCTGTCCCCTGCGGGAGCCCTAGCCCCAGGCCCGCAGCGCTGCTCTAATAGGAAATCCGGGACTCACAGCCCCCAGGGACGCAGGGGACACAAGGAAAGTTCTCGGATCATGGCAGCAAACCCCGGTGCAGGGTTTCAACTCCTTTTATACGGAGCTGCCGCAGCCCCTCCCCCAAGGCTGGGGTCACATTCACAGCCCTGCGGTAACCACGGAAACGGGCAGCCCCCTGGTTGATGAGTAACCCCGGGGACAATGACAGCGGCGGCTGGGGCCTATTCAGATGACTGGGCGGGCTGAATGGGAGCCCTGCACAAAGGCCACTGGCAAAGTGACGCGGGCTCCCGCTTCCAAAGGGGGTGTAAATGACGCCATAACTTGTCACAAAAGAACAGAGGCCCTCGCGGCCCACACCTGTCACACCAGTGCTTCTTGATCTTTGGGGGAATTTACAACAATGACTCTGCGGGCGCGCGGCCACAGGGCACTTGGCCGGAAGTGTCCTTTAGAAACATCCTCTGGTCTACCTTCCAGGGACCTGCAGGCATTCAAATGCACAACGAAACGCCCCAACACGCCCCTCGCCTGGAGACTGGAAAGCGGCCTGGAAGCGGGGTTGGGGGGGGGGGTGCCCGGAGCGCCAGTAACCATCACTGGCTACTTGTCACCAGGCGTTACCGGCCACACACCTCAGGCCACAGCTGAAGACTCTCTACGAAGGCAGAGCTTTGCAGGGTTATTTTAAAACCAACATCACCCTCCGGTATCTGAACGGCTCCAGCGGGAAAGAACTCGAACGCGTCTTTCCATGAACTCCCCAGAAAGAATTCCTGAATATTTTTTACGCTCGCTCTGGTGTAATCGCAAGCTTCCTTGACCTGAACTGGAAATAAAGACAAATCGCACAATCATCATCATTCAGGGACGTACCAGGGAAGTCTCTTCCGAAGGAGCCGGGCAAGATCGTTCCGTTTTCGATCAACTACGCAGAAAAGCGGTCCACAAGAAGAGAGGATATTTTACTGGACAATAAGCTACCGAAATCACTAGTGACAAAGGCCCCTCTCCCGGAGCCCTGATGGCAGGGCCAATACTCTGCCAGGTGCTTTGCAAACACCTGTGAAATAGAACCACGGTCCCCATTTGTCACACAAGGAAATAGAGGTTCTGAGAGATTAAGTGACAGACCCGAGGTCACCAGGTGAGTGACATCTGAACCCCACGATCGCTCCCCACATTCTCCTGCTTTTCTCTTGATGTTTGCTCAATTAACTTTGAATACTGAACAGCCTGGGCCAAGTCAGGAAGTTTTTTAAAGAATGCTCCATCAGACGCTCGCTCCATCAGAGGTAGAACAGGAAGAAGAGACTTTAAAACACCTCCGGTGGATGGGGTGCCTGGGGGGCTCAGGTCATGATCTCACGGTTCGTGAGTTTGAGCCCCGCATCGGGCTCTGTGCTGACAGCTCGGAGCCTGGAGCCTGCTTCCGACTGTGTGTGTGTCTCTCTCTGCCCCTCCCCTGCTCACACGTTGTTTCTCTCTCAAAAATAAATAAACATTAAAAAAATAAATTAAGGGGCGCCTGGGTGGCTCAGTTGGTTAAGCGTCCAACTTCGGCTCAGGTCATGATCTCACGGTTTGTGGGTTTGAGCCTCTCGCTGGGCTCTGTGCTGACAGCTCAGAGCCTGGAGCCTGCTTCGGATTCTGTGTCTCCCTCTCTCTCTCTGTCCCTACCCCTGCTCATGCTCTGTCTCTTTCTCTCTCAAAAATAAATAAATGTTAAAAAAAAAATTTTTAATAAAAATAAAATTAATTAATTAAATACATAAAGGATAAGCAATCTAACTGCAAAAGCAAATTGGCAATTTTCAGAACAATTAGGGGTGATGGACAAACATGAAATACTGTTCCCTTTCCCTAAAGAAGGGTACAAATCAAGAATATAAAACATTTTTTAAAAAAATTTTTATGTTTGTTTTTGAAAAATAGGGAAACGGAGCATGAGCGTGGGAGGGGCAGAGAGAAAAGGAGACACAGAATCGGAAGCAGGCTCCAGGCTCTGAGCTGTCAGCACAGAGCCCGACGCGGGGCTCGAACCCACGAACCGTGAGATCACGACCTGAGCCGAAGTCAGACGCTCAACCGACTGAGCTACCCAGCGCCCCTCAAACATTTATTTATTTATTTTTTACCTGTTGGATTAGAAAAGATGAGAAAGACTTATCTTTCCGACGATGATACAAACACAGAGGGTTTTCAACCACAGCTCATTCTAGTATAAATCAGTACAAGCTTTCCAAAGGCAATTTGACCAAGGTGATCAGAACAAAGTGGGCAAAACTGTGGCACCAAGGATTCCATCTCTAGAAATTCATTATTCAGAATAACCTCAAATAACACACAGACCCCACTAACGTTGATGCTCTCAGAGAAAAAGGGAATCTGGAAACAAATACACAATAAGAGGGAATTGGCTGAATACATCACATTCCCCTGGCACAATGGCAGACTCCCCGAGGATTAAAACGGGCAGGGGATGGCAAATCCCCGTGACCCACTCACAAAGCAGGCTGCACTTGGGGGAGCACGGGGAAACGCGGGAATACGACACGCTTATACCCACGGGAATGGGTGTGTGTACAAAGTCCTTGTTTTCTAGCCTGCGCTTCTGACCGCCTGAATTTTTTTTTACAAGGTTATCTTCCCTTTTTGATCAGTAGGCTTCTTTATAAATTTTTTTTTAATGTTCATTTATTTTGGACAGAGAGAGAGAGAGAGAGAGAGAGAGAGAGACAGAGCATGAGCGGGGGAAGGGCAGAGAGAGAGGGAGACAGAATCCGAAGCAGGTTCCAGGCTCTGACCCGTCAGCACAGAGCCGGACGCAGGGCTCGAACTCACAGACCGCGCGATCACAACCTGAGCCGAAGTCGGACGCTCAACCGACTGAGCCACCCAGACGCCCCATGGTTAGTAAGCTTCTTAAGAATTTTTTAAAACTAGGGGCACCTGGTGGGTGGTTCAGTCGGTTAAGCGTCCGACTTCGGCTCAGGTCATGATCTCACGGTTCGTGGGTTTGAGCCCCGCGTCGGGCTCTTTGCCGACGGCCCCTGGAACCTGCTGCGGATTCTCTGTCTCCCTCTCTCTCTCTCTCTCTCTCTCTCTCTCTCTCTCTCTGCCCCTCCCCTGCTTGTGCTCTGTCTCCGTCTGTCTCTCAAAAATAAACGTAAAAACAAAGAAAAATGTTTAAAACAAATTTAAAAACAAAGAATTTTTTAAAGCTAAAGTAAATCTCTTTCACCCATCCTCCCCCTCCCCACCAAAAGACGTCGCTGACTGCTAGTTCTGGAAGGACCAGTAAAGCTTCTGCCAGGGCAGCGCCTCTGACCACAGCACTCTGATCATGCCCTGCCCACCTGGCACCTGGAAAAGCAGCAGCTCCAAGAAGGAAGCCCCTCCTTCTTCCTCAGAACACCTCTGCTCCTCTCAGTTTTGCAGACCCCAGCCCTACTCTTCCCTTCACAGGCCTGAGACCACTAAGGGTCCAGCTAAGCAGGCACCAGCTAAGCCCTTCTGTTCCCCGGCCCCACCCAAGTCCCAACAAGTCCAGAGACGAGTCCCACCTCCTGGAACTCTCACCGTCTCCAAAGACCACTCCTTGGGGGCGGGGGGAGAAGAAGTTTCTAGAACATCCGAATTTAAGCTCTGGAACAGCCTTTGAGGCGCACGGCTCCCGGTGGAGCGCGGCAGCCGAGACAAGCTGATGCACAGAGCGGCCAAGATCAGGAGCTGTGTTCTGACTCCCAGATCCCTGTGCCACCATCCACATGCGGACAGGTGCCGAGATGTCTCTGCCAGGTGACCAGCAGCAGGGAAGAGAGGCTGGAGGGGGGCGGGGGCCTTTCCCGCTGTCTGTCGTGACACCAGGCGCACCGGCGCACACAGTGTGCACCCAAATGGTCCGACGTCAGCGGAGACCCTCGGGGCAGCAGCCGGGGGGCCCCGGAAACGCCTCACGGTTAGGGGGCCCTCCCTCCAGCTCCCCAGCGCCCACAACAGTTTGAGGAGAGACCAGGAGCCGCCCGGCTCCCCTCAAGGGGGCAAATTTGCACCCTGAGATAGTGGGGGGGGTCCCCATGCCGACAGCCCCCCCCCCCGACGCTGAGTGCAGGGCTGGCTTGGCTGCCACCAGCCTCCAGCGGGGCCCTCACACCCACAGGCGGCACCCCTGAGGCCCCCCCCCACAGCCCGCAGTGGGAGTAAAGACCCCAGCAGTCGACCCTCCCCACGCCCCCCTCACCAGGCCACTCACTGCCCCTCGGTCCAACCGACCTACCCCTGACCCGTGTCCCCAGGCCTCGCCCACCGCCCCGGCCTCAGAGGTTGCATTCCGGGCCCTCCCTGCCCGCAACAGGCCGGCCGTGCCCCCTGGCGCCCACCCACTCTGAGGCGCCAGGAGCCCCTGCTCCGTGGGGCGGGATCTGCGCTAGAGGGTAAATCCTACCCGCGTCGCTCCCCGCCAAGTCCCCGGAAGGGAACACAGCCGGACACACGGTAGGTGCTCCACGAAGGCGTGCTGGCCGACCCAACGGAGAAGCAAACACCTCCCCCTCCCAGTAGCCCCCGCCCCCTCAACACAGCGTCCTGAGCCACGGTCATCTGTCTACCCATCCCCTGGCTGTGAGCTCGTCGGAACGACCGTGCTAGGGGAGGCTCGGCCCCCGTGGCGCTCAGGCACAGCGGGCCCCTCTGACACTCAGCACCTCAAGGCCGGGCGCCCCAGGGCCCTCTGCACCTCACTTACGTTTCGTCCCGTTCTGCCTGCCCACCGGCCAGTGCCCCTGACGGCCGGCAGCCCTCCTTGGCCACCACGGCGGACCCTGCAAGGCGCGTCGAGGTGCTGGGGACACAGTGGCATGTATGCCCAGGCAGGTAGGCAGGTAGGCAGGTGACGGAGCCCCAGCATCAGGATGCAGGCCGCCTGGGGAGCGTCGTCCGGAGAGCAGCACCTCCCAATTCCCGGGGCCCGAGGTCCTGCCCGCTTGATCCACTCGCTGCACGGCCGTTTCCCTGGACAGGAGTCCCTGCTGCATGTGGCCTACCCTCATGTCCCCCCAAGGAAGGGAACGGAAGCTCGGGGGCAGGGCCAGACACCCACAGCGCTCCGTAGGCGTTTGCAGAGCTAAAAGCCCCAACACGGGAAGCCTTCTCGGCCCCCGACCAGAGCCCCTTCTACCCTGCTCTCGCCCCAATGTCACCTCCACGGCTCTGGCCACAGCACGAGCTGACCTGGGGAGCTGACTGGCCTCCTGGACGGAAGCTTCTGGCAGGAAGGCCAGGTGCGTACCTGTGCATGGGGAGCTGGGCGGCAGGGCACCGGTCACAGTGGAGCTCTTTGTCCATCACCCTGGCACCTGCCGGCCCCACGGCCCTTCTGGAAGAGCCTTCCACGTGTGACATTTCTCACATGCACGGGCCCCTCTCATCCCTAAAGGACGTCGCTTACTTGCCAAATTCCGAGTGTCCCCGACACCCCTCGCCGCGACCCCCTTCCTCACCGCGGCCGCCCGCTTCGGTCTCACCCCCTGGCCCCAGCTCCGTGAGCCTCGGTTTCCCCCAGAAAAGTCGGATTCCAGGACCAAGTATCCAAGGGTAATGCCGAGCAGACGCTGCAGGGTGTGAGTCTGGGCACCTGGGACGTGGAGGGGACCGCAGGGCAGGCCTGCTGGGCGCCAGCCATCTGTGCGGCTCCCGCTGCCTCCCCCGACCGCAAGGGCCACGGAGAGCGCGTGTCCTGGGAAGGGTCCGGGGCGCGGGGGCCTTTCTTGGTTTCCTTTTCCGTTGCTCCTGCCACCGCAGCCTGTGTCCAGGCAGGACAGCACCCAGCCGTCCCCTCTGCTCCGTTCTAAAGGCGGCGCCCCAATGGGAAACGGCTCCTGGGCGGGCACCCCCCTCCACCCCTGGTCAGTCGGCAGGGTCCCCAGGGCCAGCGGTGGGTGAGGAGGGGCTGGGGGCCAGGAGGATGTGGACGCCCCGATGGGCAGCGTAGCCTTCTGGCCGGGTCCCGGGAGCCCGAGCACCACCAGGCTGAGTGCGGAGATGAGTCAGGGGCACGGGAGGGGCAGTCCCGCAGTTCCCACATCCCCACGACATCTGCACAATGGCACTTGTCACACCCCTTTACCGATGAGGAGACCGGGGCTCAGAGAGGGTGATGGGCACCGCAAAGCAACCAGCCAGGCAGGGCTGGGCTGAGCCCACGTCCCACCCGGGACCCGGGGCCGCACCGCTCTCCGGTCACCTTTACCACTCTGTGCTGTGTTAATGCAACCGATCCCAGGCCAAACCCACCAGACCACAGATACCGTGAGCCCTGAAGGTTCCCTGGGGGCCCCCAGTGCCGAGGCTATGCCAGGCACAGAGGAGACACAGGTCAAGGCGACAGCCGTGGAGCTGGCCCCCTGGACTGGCCGCCCGGCTCCAGGGCAGTCCTCTCGATGTGGGGGAGGGGGGGATTGGGCAGGGGACTTGTGGCCGTGTCTGGAGACAACTCTGGCTGTCACGACTCTGGTGTCACTGGCACACGGTGGGTGGAGGCCAGGGACGCCGTCCCCACACCCTACCACGCTCAGGACGGGCCTGCAGCAGAGGTCACCCCAGCCTCAAATGTCAACAGTGCACAGAAGGGAAGGCCTGCTCTGGGGGCGGACAGAGGTGGGTGTGCCAGGGAGACAAAGGAGGGGGGTCTCCGTGGCTCCCGGGGAAGGGGCTGGCCTCAGGGAGCCAGGCCAGGGAAATCCCTCTGAGGGAGGGACCTCGGGGGGCGGACAAGGGGAAGGCCCAGAGGCAGCCCCAGACAAGGGCTTGCCCTGTGACCCGCACACACAGCACGCTGTTTGTTGAGTATGTGGCCCATCCAATGAGGCGTGAAGGACCCCGCTGCCCTCCCCGCCTCCATTCAGCCCCAACGTCCCTCTCAGGGGGCATGAGCTGGAGCTTCATGCCTCCTCCAGGAAGGCCACCCTTCATGTACAGCACCGGGC